TTACTGGTGGCTTTACGTACCTGTGAGCGAACAGTTTTCATCTCGGAAGCTGCTCAATCCATACGGGCCCGTAGAGTGGCTAGCTCTTCGCTCTGGGCTCGGACTGCTGCTCGTCGTTCATTCTCGAACTGGGTTTGCTACGCCCAGAGATGACCCTCCTCTTCTTCGATCAGATCCTCGAATTGTTGTTGCTCGTTACGGGTTCAGGTTGCAGCCGTTGGGTTGATACGTTCAATGTTATCCGCATTTTGGTTCTACGCGGGATGATCCTCATCTAAGTTAATAACTGGTTCAGGATCCGCTTCGGTCCGAACGTCATCTTCATGAACCTCTGGGTCCTGTTCATCAGTTGCAGCTGTAGGGCGTGGTGGAGGCATCCTTGTCTGTGATCTCTGTGGTGTAGTAAACTCGAAGGGGATTGGGCGAAAGTTTCTTCTTACTCGACCTAGGCCTGATCCTCCAGCTTGAGCTCGGTTGGCGGTAGCTAGGGTTTCCATCTGCTTATCGTGTTCGCCTACCTTCTTAACCAACGTTTCCAGCATCACCTTCATCTGGGTTATGGCCTCAGGCATAGTTTCCATTCTAACCCGTTCTGTTGTCTCTTTCTCGCCTCCCCCGGTAGTACCCGTAGGATCCAGTTTTTTGGCAGTCATCTTTTCTTTATATCGGATTTGTAGTGGTATATCGTGTCAGAAATTTCAAGATTCGTAATAAGATTTTCGTAGAGAACTGAATTTCTAGGGTCTAAACCAACGCAAACGTAAAGAGAATCGAAACTTGCTCTTTTGCTGTTAAGAAAGCCTTAGCGTACAAGTCTTTGTGTAATGATTTTCGGATCCCTTTCTCAAGGGCTATGTACATGTATATATAGTAACCTAAGGTGGTTCCGTATGTTCCTAAGCGATAATGGAAATTCTTTTCTTCCTCTTCCAATTTCCATTCTTTCCAGGATTGCTTATATCGGTTCCTTCGTGGGCCTCATCACGTTCCACTTCGGTCCAATTTCATTTAGTCAGGCGGATCTTGATACGACATCATTTGTCTTCTGTACACATCGATCGACATCATCATCATAAGCGGTCGACATCAGCGCCACATGAGGTTACATCGGCACCACACGTGGTCAACGTCGTAACGTGTATCGGCCAATCCACTTCAAAACCACGACATCGGCACAACATCAGCCCGTATCGACATCGGCACAGAAACCGGTTGATATCGGGACGTCGGCACGTGGACCTCGGCACCATGTCTTCCTAGAATGACATCGGCACCATCATCGACTTCGGCTCCATCATTGGTCGACATCGGGACCACTTGACATCAGCACTACCTTCTCGTAATCTACATCGGTACCGCATCTTGATGTCGGCATTTATGCTTCAACATCGGCACCATATGTGCCTGACTTCGGTACCACATGAGATCGACATCGGCATGCAACTTCTCCAATTCGGCATTGCAGGTTCGTGCAAGCCGAAGTCTCTTCGACCATATTGACATGTCTCCACGATAATTGATATAACTTCCTATCCAAATGACTTCAAACTTCTTTTGGGTCATAACTAACTCAATTATCTAACTCTTGACCAAATATCAGCTTGTTTGGTGTTCCGATTGAGTGGTACCGATGTCATCTCTTTGGCACTTCGGCCACTTCGGCCAGATGGACATGTCCTCAGTAAATCAGGTGTATCTCGGCAACCACAACTCTAAATGATATGGTTAAACTCCATTGGAAAGCTAACTCAAACACCTTCCTCTACATGGCAACCTCGGCATAATGGCATCGGCATAACGACTTCGATGGCCCTTCGAACTGATGACTTTGGCAAGGTGACTTCGGTCAGATTGACACGTCCTTCGTAAAATTGGGTGTATATTGCCAACCGCTACTCCAAATGACATGATTTTAAGTCCATTTTGAAGCTAACTCAAAGATCTTGCTAAGCATGGTGATTTCGGTAGAATGACTTCGGCGAAATAACTTCGGCAACCTAGTGACTTCGACATAATGACTAAGATGCAGTCTTCCGCAGAATGACTTAGGCGCCATTTCCGTAAAACGACTTAGGCGCCGTTTTCGTCAAACGACTTAGGCGTAGTCTTCTGCAGAACAACTTAGGCGCAGTCTTCTACAAAAGAACTTAGGAGTAGTCTTCCGCAGAACGACTTAGGCACTGTGGAGACATGACCAACAAGTAAAGCTTTTGCATCTAAGTCTATTTTTCTTGTTCTTGGGCTCAATTGTTTTGAATCGTTGTTCTCAGGGGAGAGGGAACTCTGACCCCAACATTAGGTTTTAGGCATTCAAAGATTCTATGTTTATGCATAATTGAATATCGAACTTTGTTAGGGTTTATCTAGTGGATTCTTCACCTCTATTCGATCYTACTGCTGTTTGCTTTTTTGGCCATCTRGCYAYCTMATCTTAGGTTGATATACTCTCCAAAAGCTTGTTATATTGTCTGAACTAATATTTGGTGAGTAATGCGTCATAACAATTGGAAAAGTTAGTTATGGAGTATTATGAACAATCGAATCTTACCCTTTACGCGTGTCTTCACCTTGTAATAACATACGATAGTTGAGTCTATTAGGGAAGAAGACATAGAAGTTTGATCCACGACAGTGGTATAATTTTACATTAGTGATTTTAGTTCTAGAACGATCTTTGAAAACCCGAAATCTTTATGTGTTTCATGAGTCTCTGTGAATTATCTAATG